AACACCTCCAGACACAGGGGCATCCAACATGGCAGGAGTCTCCCAGCCATCTATAGAATGCAAACTCAGGAATGAAGCAGTTTCTTCAAGATTTTAATGACCATTATACAAGAGCACATGAAAGCACAATGCCTCAGAACATACAGAAAATGGCAAGGCTAGCCAATGTTACTAAACTTAAGTAAGAACTGTTTGGTGGAGATTAAAATCGAATTTTTAGCAAATTTTGATAAAAAAAAATGTTAAGATGTGTGGTTAAAAAGGTGGGGGTCTCACAAAATATATGGTTAAAATTAATTGTTAACTTTAACTTAGATTAAAATTTAGATTTTAATTTTTACCAAAGAGAGACATAGATTAGTTTATAAATAAATACGCTTTAACAAATTCTTTTTATTGACAAGATCAAATCGAAAGCAAGTTATTTATTTCGACCACAAATTATTAAATTTTTTCTTATAACTGTAAATAAGTAATATATGAAAACATACGTAGAAATAAAAAATTAATTACTTTTAAACTTAACAAAACATATATGATGTGTTTGATTGTATTTATTTTCCATGAAAAATATTAGTTTTCCACTTAAATTTCTTCTTTGAAGTGTTTGATTGCTATTTTTTTTCATTGAAATTATTTTCCAACTTTTGAAATTATGCCTAATTTTGATTGCTTTTAAGGAAAACATTTTTTATTTTCTTTTGGAAAGAGTAGATTTTTGTTTTCCTCAAAATAAAGAAAATATTTTCTATACCAATCAAGCACACTCATATTGTTTCTAACTACTAAAATAAATAATTTGTTTTTAGATCTAATCAATGAAAATTATCTATTATACAATTTACTCAGTCTATGCTTGGCCGCCATTTCTCTAAAACCTCATTTTTTCAACTCATTTTTAACCACAAATTTTCAATAAAATAATATTACATGTAAATTCAAAAAAAAAAAATTCTTATTTTTTGACCACACATTCTCCAACAAAACACTATTTTAAAATACATTTTGGCCAAAAGGGCTCAAACATGGCTTAATAATCATAAGTAAATTTAGTCAAACACACATTAAATAAAATACCTAATTTGACAATAAGATATTCATATTTCATAAATGTCATGAAAGATCATTTAATAATTGTAGTCTCTTTAATAAAATTTAGATAATTGAGCGGCTTAGGTTGGAATTCAAAGCATATCTGAGCTAACACAAATATTTAGGCCCTGTTTGTTTCTGATTCTCAAATCAATTCTCATTTTCAACCACACATTCTTCAATAAAATAATATTTTCCATCACATCAATACTTTTTTCTTCTTTTTCAACCACACATTTCCCATCATATCACTATTCNTAGCCCTGCCTTGCCCCCACTTCATCGGCTTGTAGGATGATTGGAAGACATGAGTCACGGATGAGGATGGGTACATTTGTGTTAAGTTCAAATTTGTAATTAGAAATATCTAAATTTAGAATTAAAAATATTAGTTTTCAAAATCATGATATATTTGAGTTGTGGATTGATAGTATAGTCCTTGAAGAACTCAAAGATGTTCAAAAAGATCACATATGATTAATGAAATACAATTAGAAGTCAAAAGATTGTCAAAGTGCTGCACAAGTCATGCTTCAAATTCTCACTCACAAATTGCAACACATTTTTAACATAGAAAACATTCGAACTTGAAAAATACTACCTCTTGAAGAATTGCATTCCATGAAGTTAGCTTTCTAACATACTTCGAATTGACCCAATCCAATAGCCGGAGAGAAAAATATAACAAAAATACTGACGACTACTCAGAGACCGCTTCCTGTCCGCAAGGAAGAACTTGAGTAGTTGGATTTTCTGGGCAAAATTCTGTTCGTGATTTTAACAGATTTTTCACTCATATTCACCCTCAAGCACTTCATATTATAAATACCCAATCCTAATCCGTCTCAATAGTGTGTTGAAACATTATTTTATATTAGAGAGCACATTCTTGAAGATCCAAAACATATTTCAAAGATACTTGATCAATTCTTCATAATTCATCCCAAGCATTATTCCATTATTCGTTAATCCTTAATTTTAGTCAAAAGAATATCTATTAAAGATTGAATACATATCCATAAAGCTCTTGCCTCATCCAAAAGATCAAAATACAAAAGTTCTCAGATAAAATTGGAAACCTTACTTCACCTATAAGCCTTCAAAGTTTTAAAGTTGAAGAATCGGTGTTTGGAGTTCCAGCACTCTAGAACAACTTTGCTCGTGGTGATCTATTGGAGAGAAAAGTAGTCCGAAGTTTTGAAAAGTGTGGTGGCATAATCGAAGAGATTCTTCGATGATTTACAAATTAGGTGATGCAAAGCTTACCGGGGAGGTTTTTAATTTTTGTAAAGAGTTCTTCAAGGGGTTTTCCTCCATCATCAATTCTTGATATTATTTACTTTATTGCTTTTAATTTTTGCATGTTTATGATTGATACTTAGTTTTAATTGGATTAATAAACTTAATTATCTAGAGATAATAAACAAGTGACTTGTTATTGGTTTAATTTCACCTATTTGGGCCTATACATTCTCCAACAACTTGTATAAGAAGGAATACAAATTTTTTTTGTTTATATAAATAGACAACTAAATAGCTGCCTCTTTTCCTCTTTCCTTTTCAATTTTTTTAAAATTATACTGGACGGCTCGGCTCGAACTTTTTCCGAGTCGAGCCACGGGCGGCCCGAGCCAACGAGCCAAACCGACATCCCTAGATTGATGCATCTTTTCCTAGATGTCACTTCTATAGTATTAGGTTCAAGAACGTTTAATAATGTATGTTTGATTGATATTATTGAAGAAAGAATGTATTTTAAATAGTGATATGACGAAAATTATGTGATTAAAGGGTAAGAAAAAATTATTGATATGATGAAAATATTATTTTATTAAAAATGTGTAATTGAAAATAAATTTTGAAAGAATGTATCTTTAGAGAATATGTATCAAACAGGGGCCTAATATCAAATAAATAGTCATTGACAAGTTGATTGAACGATTACTGTAGAAATGTCACATCAATCAATCACTCAGAAGATCTTGTACATGTGTTGATTGATTGAGTGGCACTGTGTGTCAACTTGTGTTGGTTTTTTTTTTTTTTTTTTGAATCTCTATGTAGCGGTGCAAAACACTGCTTTTCAGGGTGGTAAGATGATAATTTCTTACTCCAACTTCAAAGGAATTGATAATTGTATTTTATACACTTATTTGATGTTTAAAATAACAATATTTGACAGTTCTTTTGACAAAATATATTCTAATGGTTGTATTTTCTGTTATATAGAATGAGGTATTAGATGAAACAAGAGAAAAATTAAGGAAAATGGTGAAACCAAAAGTATGGGGACCAAAGTATAAATATTCACTAGTTGATTTGAACCATAAAATGATGATTGAATATCACGTATGATCAATTGGATGCAATTTGAAGTCAAATGAGTGAAATATAGCCAAAGTATTCTCATAAATAAACTTTTAGCCGAAAATAATATGATCCGGATTTTTAACCTCAACTTGAGACTCATTTTTCGGGTATCAAACGTTCAAATTAGGAAAATTCTACTTCTATAAGAATTGTATCCCTTTGAGTTATCTTACCAACACAGTTTGAATTACCTTAATCGAATATCGGGAGAAAAAGTTATGACCAAAATATCAAAAACTATTCATGGACGAAGAAATGTAAATTGGCACGCGCTCAAGACCCTATTTTCACCAACCTGATAGCACTTCATCTTGCATGTGCATAGGGGTGAAGGAAGGCGGTGCGCGCTGGGGGGGCTATTTTCGCAAACGAATCAATAGTTTCCTTTTTCGATTCAAACTCAACTTGGTAAGGATTTGTTACCTCAACTTAACCCCTATATATACTTGAATGTCTCCTACATAAACCGACTCTTCTTGTACACCATTAATACACCAATATACATCTCATACTACAATATTTCATCATAAAAGAGGCAAAATCATATATTGTGAAAAGATTTAAAAGACGAAATTCAAGAACTCATCAATTGGAGATTAAACTTAGAATTTGTGGAAAAAGAAGCAAAATAATTATTGAAAATTTATCAAGATTACTCTGAAGAAATTCAAGAATATCAAGATGCACCTTCCTTCATTCATTAATTCACAATTCCGGGTGATGTTCTATACATTTAACACTATTTTTTGTAATTCCAATACACCAGGCTAATTTTATACACTGTTAGGATGAGATGAATCCTTATTATGATATTTTTAGTTTTAATTAATTATTTTGATTTTAATTTGATTTGATTTGAGGATGTTTATTATTGTGCTTGTAATTCTTTTCAATTTTTTGATCACCAATTGAATTATTAGTGGATTTTATGTTATAGAGAGAGACATATGGTTTAAACACAATATAATAATCATTGTAAGGTTCAATATATGATAGAGATATATATCTATACTTTCTATGGTTTTAATAGGTGTTCTAACACTTGTTACTGCATTTATCATGTTTACATCTTTCATCGAGAGATATAACATGAGAGGAATAGATTTGATCACTATCGAGGGATATTTCAATTTAATTAGGAACATTGACTAATATGAATGATTTTAAATTGTCACTTTAATTGTTAAACTGTAAATAAAATAACAAGGGATATTCGACATCTTAACAATGCATCTCACATATTTCAAAAATATATTTACTTGTTTTCACTAGTTTAATTGATAATTTAGGGATTAGTATAGAAAAATCACAACAACTTGTTTGCTCTTTGATTAAAGTTGCAATTAATTTTAAACCAATGAAATACATAGTTTTCATGGGTTCGACACTCTATTCATCATTATATTACTTAACCACGATCTCGTGCACTTGCGGATGTTCAAAGGATCAAGAACATCCGTCGATTTTGGAGATTAGACAAACATGCATTGTGAGTTGATATTCTGGGAGTCGAGATTTTCGATTTAACATCATTTTTAATGTTCCTTCAGGTCTTGAGTGATCCAGAGAGAAGGCAAACCTATGATCAATATGGTGAAGAAGGTCTAAAAGACATGTCACCTCCTTACTCAAATGAAAGCCAAAGTGGATTTAATCCTAGAAATGGTGAGGGAATTTTTGCTGAATTCTTTGGAAGTAGCCCTTTTGGATTTGGATTATCAGGTGCTGCGAGATCGATGAGATTCTCATCTGATAGAGGATGGCCATATGGTGGATTTGGCATGAAAAGTAACATCTTTAGAAATTATAGCAATGGAAACGGCGCAAGCATGCCTAAGAAACAACCACCGGTTGAGAGTAAATTGCCTTACAGCCTCGAGGAGTTGTATACTAGATCCTGAGGCGGACGCAGAACTTAAAACTTAGGAGGCACAATCGATCTTGCAAAGAAATTGGTAGAAATTTTACAATTGAAAATTTACGTCCAAAAAAATCATACCCCATGTAATTTTGCATCTGAAAATTTACATGGAATATAACTTTTTCAAATGTAAAATTTCAAAAAAAAATTATGTCATATTCCATATGAAATTTTCTAATAAAAAGATGAAAATTACATTGAGAAATTTGTATTGTAAAAATAATAAATGTTAATAAAATAATTGAATTTTTTTTAAAGAAAATGCGAGTTAAACGTCTTTCTTTAAAACTCACGTTTAACGCATTTTTAACTATTTTCGGTATCTGTTTGGGTTATTTGATATGTCTATAATGTAGTTCTCAAAATAAGTTTTGAGATGACATAAACATTTGTAGATTCGATTAGCATACAATCGTCGAAAATTTTTTAAAGTTATCATATTATCGAAATTTTTGAAATACTAATTTTGAATTGCTTACTTTGACAAGTCGTAGCATTTGCTACGATTGATCGTTTTGTACGCGATTAACGACGTAGAAAATTAGACTGTGAACACTTCGAAATGGTATTAAGAATACAATATTTCACCCTTGTTTGATGGAGAGTTAAGATTTTGTTAAAAGGTAAGAGAAAAAGAGAAAAATTAAAATTTATTGTGATTTTGTCCCTATTTGATGGAGATTAAAATCAAGTTTTTTGTACCCCGGGTTCACCCCTGACTGGATCAACCAGAAAAATAAAGATATCGAGACAAGTGGTGGATGCAAACGGGTAAGCTCTTAAAGAGATGACATGTTTATTTAAATTTTGCCTTCAATACACTACTCGCGTAGGACCACTAGATGAATGCATGAATATAGGATATCATAGATCGAATATATTGAGTGAAAATACATGATTATTAATCGTATAGACTTCTCGTACTTTTTAAAGTTTAGTTTCAACTTGCCTGATGTTTGCATGTTTTTATCTTTAGTAATCAACATTTTTAGACGACATCCATGGTTTACACAATCCTTTACACCACTCACATGGAGGGGGGCCCACGAATATTTTATTGTGTGTGGGCCCCCCTCCATGTGAGAGGGGTGTAAAGAATTGTGTAAAAGATTATGTACATTTAGCATAATCCTAGATCGAATATATTGAGTGAAAATACATGATTATTAATCGTATAGACTTCTCGTACTTTTTAAAGTTTAGTTTCAACTTGCCTGATGTTTGCATGTTTTTATCTTTAGTAATCAACATTTTTAGACGACCATTTCCTAAGTCACGTACCTAAGAATATCTAATGTAACGCTTACTCGGATTAGGTAACGGATTTTTTGCAGACGATTAATGTCAAAATGGAGATATTGACAATTGAAGGGTGGAAGATGGGAACAAAGTTTTTTCCTGACAAAGGGAATAAGAAGCTAAACCAGCTCGCTGCGGGCCTCACGACCCAGTGAATTTTCGATCCCGATGATCAACATTGTGAGCCCGGGTTACGAGCTGCTGGTTTCCCAAGAAGGTATGCCAATCACCAAGGAGCCGGGGAACCGAGGTGATTTGAAGATCAGGTTTGAAGTTAAGTTCCCTACAATATTGACACCCGAGCTACGAGCTGCCCTCAAGCGTACTTTAGGAGGTTGATAATACAATTTTCGTAGACTCGATTGTTGTACTTTTATTTTTATTTTTTTCGCATCTTTTGACTACTTATTTCTTTTGCATCCTTGCTTCTGTTCCAAGTGTAGCACAAGAGATGATTTGAGTCATTCACTGAACAAATCGATTATATTCGTGCATATGTTTTACCATTTAGAAGATTAGCTAACTTGTGAACCTAACCCCACCCCCACGGCCTGACCCACCCCTGCGACGTCGCACGCATTTAAAGGAGATTCAAAACTACCCAAAAAAATTGTAAAAATCCGTGCAATGGTCAAAATGGAAGCAGTAAACCTTAACCGGGTCGAAACTTGTCTGAAGATTATAACTTCAATTTAAGGTACAAAATCTAAGGACGAAAAGAAAATGCATATATAATTTACAGAACAGGGAAATCGAGAGTCAAAACCCCAGTTACGCGAAAAATCCTATCTAGTGCCTCCACCTAGCCCCCGAGTGCCGACCAGGAGGCTGCGCCAATCTAACCCCTGGTGGCCAAGATGCCAAACCTGAAGGATTTGCCGCCTGTCTAGGCAATTGCTGAGCCACAGGAGGATTTACTTGGTTGTTGGCCAAAGGGCGTTGCATTGGGGACCGATAGCCATGAAGCTGTGGCTGAATGCGGTGTACTGATGGTGGGGCATTAGGCCGCCACTCGGGAATATCATCCTCGTCATCCTTCCATGGTTCAATACCAAGACCTATATTATCTACCCAATTCCTATTTGTAGAACTAGTTTCAGTTTGTCCATATTTTTGAATAAGCTCTCTCGCTTGATCAACAGGTAGTTGAGGGTTTTGATTAAAGCTAGTAGTCGTTTTTACACCACGATGCAAATTTTGAAATGGAACCTCAGGTACAGAAGGCTTTATATCACCAGAGAAGTTAAACTCGGGCAAATCGTCGTCATCTTTTGTTGCTCGGGCAGCAGCCACAGGGCCAAACCCTGGTGGAATATCATCCTCCTCTTCCTCCTGGGGATTGGGATTGGAACGAGTAGGTGTATTATAGGACACGGGTGCCATAACTGAAGTATTCTTGTTATTATTCGAGTTCTGCCCGCCCTTGTGATGGGCAAATGGCTGCTTCTTCGAGCTATGTTTGTGGTGTGACGAGGAATTAGGTGATATTGTGTTGCTTATATGACGTCTCCTCCATACAACTACACCAATTAATCCATCATCAATAGTACTAGGCATCTTAGAATGTTGGGTCAGCATATCAAGCATTTTCGAGGACGGGGGGCATAAATAAAGCTCAACTCCAGGGGCTGGCTCCGCATATCCCAATCTATCCTCAGCAACGTATGAATCCACAGCCTGCACAACGAACAACAATCATATGAACGAGTTTAAAGAAACGGATACGAAAAAAAAATAATAGCATAAACCAAGTGTAATATAACCTCAGAAATGGCAGCCCTCTCATTCTCAGATTGTTCATTCTTCAAGACGAAGTGGAGAATCTGCACATCCACAGAAAAGAAACATTTTTTGAGTTCAATAAGTTAAATGGGTAAAGGATTAGAACTATGAAATGCTGATTTTTCTTTCAAGGATGAGCAATTTAAATAGAGATTCAGATCAATCCCTCCACACGACCGTTTCCAACCACAGATTCAACTGCAGGATCGATTCGACAAATCCTCGTGTACTACAACTAAAGAACCCTGACCCCACCCTCAAATTAGAAATGTTAAAACTGTAAGCTACGGTTCAAGAGGTTGAACTTTTCAACTTCATAAAGCAGGAATTCCTTTTACCAGGCATCAATCCTTTTATTTGTTCGGTATTCAGCGTCTTAAGAGTCCTTCTAAGCATTCATTTTAAACTCTTATTTTTCGTTTACACCAGATTATATTGCCATTCAACTTAATAAAAGGAACAAACACAACAAGATTCACAGAACCATCTTGAAAAAGAAGATGCAATTACTGAATAACGAATCCCTCACATCTGTAGAACACTTGACTACACGCTATAATCAACAGATCGTGTCAATCAAGGTCAAAATTAATTCAATTAAATCTCAACTCTAATAACTGGACAAAAAACCTGCACATAATTTGTACAGCCACTTATTGATTGCTATCGGGTTTCTGATTTTTTCCTCGTAGGAAAAAGAAAGCAGGTATATATTGATTAGAATTGGCTTGAGAGTTTTCACGAAAGATTTTGCTGAGTGAAGCTTCTAAACATCTACCAACAAACCATGTTTTATTCTTGACACACACTTCAGAGCATATGTCCCATGAAGTCCAAATTATGGAAGAAATAAGCTTTTTCATGACTCTACCACCCAGTCAATTTTTATTCTACTTAATCTCGAATTCTTGTTCGTTCTTCCCTTTGATAATAACAAGCATCATTACTAAGATAACTAAGCGAAACCATAATCCAGACAATTTTTAGAATTCTTGTTCTGTTCTCACCCGTATGATAATAGCAAACATATGAGAGAACTCTCCAAAAATACTACCTAGTCAATTTTAATCTACTTAATCTAGAATTCATGTTCCGTTCTCTGCCCTTTGATATATAACAACCATCATTATCTAAGAAAATTCTATGAACCAAACTCCAGAAGCAAAAAACTCGTCCAGCAATTTATCATTTTCCAGAATTTTCTATTACAACTGCTGTTGTACATTCTTACTAGTACTAGTCCAAGAGGTAACTTCGTAGATAATCTCAGGCTACATTGAATAGTTTGTGAAGAGAAACCCAGAGAATAGCAAAAAAGAAGGCCTTGATGTACCATGACTGAACGAGTTCGAGACATAGGGAGTTCTCGAAAGAATTTTTCAAATGCATCAAGTCTAACTCTGCCTTTGATCTCGAGAGAGCTGGGCCACTCTTTCATCGATGTCTTCTCACCACTGTAAAATGGATTAACAGATCAGCAAAAATAATATGGCATATATGAAGGAACTCAACAAAATTCTAAATGCCATAATATTCTAGGAAGCATTTCACAGAAAAATGAAATAGAAATACATATGATCAGTAGATAGAAAATATTATAACTGATGCATCTACAAGAAATGAATTATCATTTATCAACTTCGGACTGAACATGGGGGATATAACTTATAAGCCTCCCCAAGCCATCAAGATTCATAAATGGACTGTACAGAGATCAAAATTATTGTGTAAATCACTTTGTAACTAAAAATCCAAGATGCTAATGACTTCATACCCTAAAAAAATACAAAGAACGGTTGAAATATCTCAAAATTACAATGGGTAGTGCACATTTGGATAAGAAGATGCATACCTTTTAAATTGACCACTGGCAGTGACCAAGGATGAAATATTTAGTTGAAGGACGCCCTCCCACAAACATTCAGCCTCAGTTGCATCTCCAGAAGGAAGACCTTTTTGCAATTTAGAACCACTGTTAGATTGAACTGCAACATCTACTTTACGTTCACTGACAGATCCATCCACCTTCTTGGAGGGGGTATTTATAGAATTTTCTGCAGCTGAATTCGAAGCCTTAGAATTCTTTATTTCTTCTGGGATTTCCTCGTGAGAGATGGGGGTTGTTTTATCTGCCTCTGCTGGTATATTATCAAAAGGAGGTTCAGAATTAAGATACTCCATAAACTCATCCAAAGAAACAATTGGAGGCAGAAAATCAGCATCCTTCATTTCATCATCCACCATCATTCCTTGCATTAAATCGGTCCCATCAGTTGGGATAACCAGTCTACCTGGAGAATCCTGGGTTTCTGCAATTTTTTCCTGATCTGCAACATTCTCTCTATCTTTGATATTATCTGCTTTGGAAGGAGAATGAGTTTCAGTCTCCTCCTTTGGCTTAAGTTGTGTCAACACGTTAGTCCCGCTAGAGATCTCAGCAGCCATACTATAGTCACGTTCCACTTCTACTTGATACTCACCCTTGTGTGTTTTCTTAACCAATCGTCTTATATCTGTGTCAGGCAAAACGACCATTTGTGCCAGCTCTTCTGCTTTTGCCATTCGCCATTCTGATAACTCCTTGGAAGCAAGTTCTTCAGCAGACATTGAACACAACCTTTCAGGTGATATTTCACCAGACACAACTCTTTCTCTCAGTTCCGGATTATTACGATCTTTCAGGTTGAATAAAAGAGACCTACCCTTCTCTTTGTACTTTTTGTTAACACCACCAAAAACTTTGAACAGTTCTGCTTCAATTTTAAAAGCTAAATTGATCGGAGTTAGACTACCTAGCTCACCCCTATCCCCAGGACCCTGATCATCCTCCTTTAAAAACTTGGCCTTCTCAAAATTTTGAGCCTCTTTTCCCTCTCTTACTTCCATGTCAAAATCTAAAGCCCAGGAAAGCCCATTCCCCTGTAATAGATCATCTTTAACAATGAAATTTTCACTAAATGAAACATCCTCATCGGGCAAAATGGTACCATAATGAAACTCTCCAAAAGCTTGTACATCATTTCCACTGCTTTCATGAGTAGAAAACTCAGCAGATAAAACCTGAGTATTGCTGGGTTTACCAACTGTGTCCAATTCTTTTGAAGGGGAAATATCATCGGAACCAGGAATAGGAGCAGCTGTAGTCAAATTGGACTCAGAAGACTGACATTCCTCAGGTGTCTGACTAATGTTGGCTGTATCAGTCTGTTTTTTCTCTGAATTTTCATCGTTATCTAGCTTTTGAAATGCCAAGGACAGAGCATCAGCAAGTGACTCCTTCATTTTCAACCTTACAGCTTCAGATGACTCGGTCTGAGCCTTTGATCCAGATTCAATTAGTGAAGTTTGTCTCTTTGTATTCTGCCCCCGTGGCCAACCAGATTTACTAGACATAGATTCATTTCGCACCATTTTCTTGTTCGGCAAAGGCTGATTTTGCAACCCTGGAGAACACAACTTGGACTGTGTCGGTACAGTTCTCTTTTTTGGTGCTAGTCGTGTCGATCCAGGTGAATTAATGTTGGCTCCCATGTGTGTTGCACGCTTATTTGGCATCAGTGACTGTTGGGGGACAAAATTATATTGCCCAGGTCCACCTTCAGCCTTGCGCTTACTAGGCAAAATTGATTTTTCTCCAGCTTGGATGTTTTGCATGACCCCACCATCATGACATGGCTCGTTTGGCATCCAGAATGCATTTGATCCATTAAAGCCAACATCTAGTTCATTCTGTCCTACCCGGTTGTTTGGTACGAATACATTTTGGAACCCAAGATTACTGGACATCGGCTCTGCCACTCCCATTTGCTCATTTGATAAAGCAAGATGATGTGATAGGTCATTATTAGGCACTTCGCCAATCATTCTCATATTCATTTCTGATGGTGATAAGTTCAGTGAGGTGGAAACATGTTCCATCGAAACCACTTGCCTATTTGGTAGGGGGGGAGACCGAAACAAGATTGCTGGACATTAAGCACCAGAACTGCAGATCTTGAGCAAATATGAACAGTGTTAAATCAGCTTTGGAGAACAAAATTAGACAATACTCCACCAAGTCACCTTCACAAGCAATGACCAGTAGAATACTCTGCAACTCAAAACCTAAAAAAAAATTAATAAGAACTTGAGATTCGTCTCTTAACTACAATAGTTCCTGAGATAAATAAAGCAGCATCATTCTCACCATACGAAATATTAATAAGGCATTAAGTTGAAACACATCAAACATATTCTTAACCACCACGCAGAACACAGAAAAAAAAGTATAAAACCTCAAAAATGCATTATAAATTAAAATCATGTTATATCAGGTGATTTTCATCTTCACCTATGAGGTCGAGTCTCGACACTCGTTAAAAGAAACTCTGCATGATTTAAATGAGCTCAAACTAGTTGCTACCAGTTTCATCTCAATCAAGTGCAAAAAAGAAACAGACTTGGACAAAAATTTCATTTATGCAACTATCTGGTCAAAGAACAATCATTCTGATCAGTATTTTACCTATCAAAAACTACCATAACAACGAAGTACAATGCAACTCAGTAATGAAAAGATTACACAAAAGAAAAAAGATTCATCAGTTAACTCCCACCAAAATAACCATAAAAGAAAGAAAAAGATTCAGCAGTCAACTCCTACCAAAACAACCACAAAGGAAAGAAAGTGAAACTCTCCCCACAAGGAACTACTATATTAACAAAGAGGTAGCATCACCTCCCTCTTTAGACAAAATGGAAACTTACAATTAGGTTGGCAAGCATTCCAAATTTTAAGTAAAGGGCTTTAATTTCACTCAATAGTTTTCTTATTTAGTTTTACATTTTCACTCAATTCATACTTAGTTGTATCTAACTAATGGTCAACAATTTGATGTTAATGTACAGTGCAGGAATCTCTATACCATTTTTAATTCATGTACAAAAACGAGAGTTCTTGTTCTTGGAAGTTAAGACTACAACAAAAGGCTGCCTATAAGTGTGGCTAATACATCAAGTACCAATAACTACTGGAAAGTCCTAACACCCCCAACCCCCCGACTGAATATTTAGCTAGGTCACCTCGCCATTGGTTCAACTGGCAGATCATTCTCCCTCACTGATTCTACCAGCTGGCAGCTGTCATTTATGAAACTCAAATGAAAACATATTTTTTAACTAGAAAAAGTAACATCCAAATATAAATACAAGTTTACAAATTAAGATATAATATAATCTATTAGTGCATTGCATGCATAAAGTAAAGTAGCATAATAACAAAAGGAGGTAAAATACTCAAATCTTTTTCTGTTTTTCGACTAAAAATAACATTAATTTTTATCTCATTTTTATAATTTTATATTACTTTATCATTTACTCTTTCGGTTATGTAGTCATATGTTCTTGTATTTGGCTGTAAAATATATTCAATGGTTTATATTTCTGCAAGTAGAATAACATAATTGGTAATAAACATATTCTTACGCAGGAAAAAGGTTTTTTACTCGTTTACACTAATGAAGATTGATTCATCTCAATTAAAATTATCCTTACATGGCTGATTAAAAATGCGTACCCTGATGATCAACTACTAAACTTTAGCCAACACAAGAAATTATTTTAATTTTTTCAAGTTGTGGACGAAACATAATTGTTATTAATCAAGACGAATTTCTTTAATACTTAATCGTAATAATCGGTGTCATCTTTTAAATATGTTAATAGTGTGACTATTAGGTAACAAATTGTAGTGGCCCAGTGGCAATGTAGCGTAATGCAGGAGTAACAGAACATCCCAGGTTCTACGCTTGTGGCTGGACTGGCATATCACTAGGACTCTGGCACCAGTTTTAGCAAAACCAGTCATATCACGTGTTTTGTCCAGTAACTCAAGTTCAATGGTCTATGATCCCAATGAGCTGTCCGAATCAGTTTGATGTCCATCTTGAAGGTTACCAGGTGCCAAACCACCGAACAGCTCTCCTAAGCCTATAAGGCTCAACACCAAATGCTGCTTGCTAAAAAATTTGCATAATTCATTTTGAGTTTTTTTCAATTTTACAATTTTATGCCCACATTCCTCTAATCAGCCATCACCAGCACGATCAGAGAAACCCAGGTTGCCATTAAGCTTTATTTTGCAGCCACAAACCAAGTATCTTCCACATTATGACAACCCTGCAGGTGATTGTCTTCCTTGCAGAAACTGATACATAAATGAAGGCATTTTGGTCTATTAGACCATTTCTGGATTAAGATTAATCTAAGAAACATAATTTAACATTGGCAGCTACTATTCAAAATATTTTGTAATACGAGAACACCAAACAAAACAACAAATATTGCAAGATAAGTCGGATGTAAAAAACAATGGGGGACGGGGCTGTAAAAATAAGGATTCGCGTGGACTTTATAGGCACTCTCCCTCACTTGCACTTGTTCCCATCTCTTTCTTTCATAGACAGGAAAAGATAGTTTCCATCAATGAGATTGGGACACTTTTACAACCATCAATTGTTCCAAACAAAAAGGACTGGAGAAGATTTCCTGCTCCATGACTTCATTTATCACAACCATAATTTCCCCCTTTTCCATAATGCTGAAAATAAAGATATGATGGGATTTAAGTACTCAAAATTATCGTGGATAAATTGATCTGAATTCCATTACTTGTGCAGATGCATGATAAAATCATAAATACACTTGCACCTACCTCGTGATGTTAAAGTTCACTTTCAAATTTAGTTTTCTTTAACAGGTACTCTGGGAAATGTTTTTAGATGCATGCATCAGCTCGTGTGTATGAATGTGACACAAGCAAGTAAATAGTAATATATAAATCTCATTCTTTTTCCACACAATTGAGCTTCAACTTGGAAATAGAGATAAGATGGCAATTCAAGTATCCAAAATTATCTTCTAATCATGCACAAAATGCTCTCCACATTAATGGTGCAACTGCATCATTAAACAATCAATTCGCTCACTTTTGAATTTTTAAGAGATTAGTCCAGGAAAAATATCTGTTATTGATTAATCCTGCGTTACACATACACACGCGTGACGGATGCACACATCCAGTCACAATTCACCAGTTTTAGTTTCACAAGTGCGTTTCATTAACTCCTAAAATTGAAAATTTCACACATGAGAACAAAAGGTTGGGGAAAAACGTTTTCAGAAAAAGAATTTACCAAAGAATCAATATTTAATAACTATGCCGAAAAATAGAAAATATTATAACTATAAATTCCTTCAATAGAATTCGAAAATTGGATAGTCTATAAGCCCTAAAAAACTATTTGAACAATCGAATCACATAAACATGTATAAAATTACATAGACATAAATAGTCAATAAGCCATAATTTTTATTTTTATTATTTCACAGTCGATAAGCAAACTTCTGATTCATGACCGAGTACGAATCTATTCAAACAATCAATTTGCTTAAAAATCTACGACTGCCTGTACAATTATACACACAAATGTTCGCACAAATCTCAGAATCAATTTCCCAATTCAAAGTTAAAATTCCTAAAAAGATATAAAAACGACGCATACATACAATCAAAAGAAACTTCTTGCCAGGGAAACAAAACCTAATTTCTCATTCATGAGTGCATAAAAGATCACCTCAAACACGGCGATCCAAACACGTAGAGAGAGAATTTTTACCTAGTAGATGGAGACGAAGGTAATTTCGGTGTGCTGAGCTGAATACATTTACAGGTTTAGAGAGAGAGAGAAGGGGATTGCGATAATATCTCATGACGAGAGAAAAACCCTAGAAAGGTAAATATATTAGGCAAATTATCCGGTGGAACCGGCATTTGCTGGCTGGCGGTCTACTTTAATGACACGTACACCTTTTTGTTTATCTTTATACAATAAAATAATAACATTTGTGTATTGGTTATTTGTACAATTGTACATAATAAATTTACTTAATGATGTACATAATAAATTAAATAATGTTTGTTGTACGTAATTTATGCACATTGTGTTATTTGTAAGATATGATTTATTCAAAAATTTTTCAATCAAACAAAAAAATCTCTACTCTCATTTTGACACATTATCTATATGTAAACCATTATATAACTGTTTATGTACAAGTAACATTATTCATATAATAATTATAAATAAACTTGAACTTGGTCCGAGGGACCGAGTTGAAATCTGAACCCATCCTGGTTTTCTAACTAATATTGAATATTCATGATTGTTATAAATTAAGAAAAACAAATAAATCAATAGATTCGTGTGTCTTTTATTAGGAATTAATGTCTTGCATTTATAGAAAAAATAGGACTATAAAAATATGATAGTTACAATAATTAGAGCTTCATGTCACGGACCTAGAGAACTCTCCTACCCATATGGCATGGCAAGATAGCTTATTGCGAGTTTATTGCTATATTTCTCGGAAGTGCATTGACGATGTCCCTTTAACAGGTTTGGATGGCATGCTTTCTATCCCTATGTTGTGCTTATGTTGCATATCTAAGCTTGCCGGTCGCATGTGTGAGGAAGGCTGCCTTGGAGGTCCCTGGAACCTCAAGGGCCGAACGGGAGATCCGTTACAAGTGGTATCAGAGCTTGAGTTCGGCTCACTTACTACCATTGGCATGGCGGATCGAGAGGTTGCGGGTTCCGGTACCACAGAAATGGAACATGAAGATAGGGGGCGAGAGACAGAACCTTCTACTACCGGTAAGAAGGCTAAGCATGGTCGGAGCAGAAGTCGCCCACCGGCCCCCCTCCCTGTCTGGCCACTCGAAGAAGTTTTCGTTAATATGAGGGAACGCATTGAGACGGTGGAGAATTCACTCTCGACCTTAGAGTCCCACACCTTGGAACAGTTTGATGACATCAAGGAGGACCAAGGTTCTCTAA